AAACACCAGCGGCAAAAGTTTTCGGAGGTGGTTGGCCTCAAATTCGCTTCTTCAACCACCAGTCCCGCCGAACACTTTCGCCCAACGCTCGATTTGCCTGCTTCCTGTCTACCGAACTCTTCCGTTGCAAGGGCCTACCGAGCACCACCACCCTTTTTGGTCCCATAGCCCGAGCCATTCTGTGGCCCAGTGTTAACTGGTGCCTACTCACAGGTAGCTGGGCAGGGTACTGGTAAGGGATGGATATGATTGTATTAGAAAGTAAAAAAACAAGGAGCCTCCTTTTCACCTGACCTGACATCACAACAGGGTCCTACCTTACGGAGCTACCTTACCTTCTTCCCCCGAACATAACACCACATCATCATGAACATCTACAACATTACTAGCCATATTCTACAGTCATGATGCCTGGGGCATCAAGGGGAGACGGAAGTCAGTCCAGCAGGCCAGCTATTCAATCCAGAAGGCCAAATTGACCAGCAGCTCCATGTCCACCAGTACAGAATTGCCCGAACTCAACTCCAACCTGATCCTATCCAGACGAACCATCAACATCTGCGGTCTACTAGTCCTGCCAGCTCTTTTTCTTTTCTTTTCGATAGCAACCATATTACCCAAAGCCTCCATTGAATTGTGTCATGGATAAGCCTGAGTTCTCCGATCATGGTTCCAAGAATTGCTCGAATTTCTCGAGATAGGGCCGCCTACAGAGTGCCCTCTTGCAACCGGGGCACATAGGACAAAGCACATATCCTACGATCCTCTCCCTCTATCCCCCCAAGTGACTCAAATCTCCTGCAGCGAAACCTGAGCAATACAAGGAGCTTTCCCCAGCTGATGTCTCGCTTTGACCTACAACCGACCGCACTATTCCCACTTGTTCTCCAGAAAGGATGCGTGAACCCAGTAGGCCAAACTGACCAGCCTCCCCGCGTACATCACGACAATATCTGGCAAGGGTGCAGGACAGTGGTGGTCTAAAAGGAAATTCCACCCGCAGCCATCTTTTGCTGAACCTTGGGCAGCCTGATCACAATTCGATGTCAGTAATACGAGCTGCGGTTTTCATGGCCCATAAAGGCAGCCAACCTGACTACCAGACAATGCAGATCATTCTGGACGCAGGACACACCACACCTAAAGCACCTGCCCCTCTTCTTTTTGAAGGCAAGCGCTGTCCTAATTTAAATGGGACCAAAAGACCCACTTCACACAGTCCTACTGGCATGTTCTACCAGCAACGCCTGGGATGGCCTCCAAATTCTGCAACAATGCACAAGGGGGCTGCAGGGCCTTCCATCAGCCACCCATCAGCAAGCAGTGGCGGTCATGAAAACAGACTGCGGCCATTGCCCTGGAGTGACCTGGAATATCCAACCACAACTGCAACAGTTCAGGCCAGAGACCCAGTTTCTTCATTCAGCTGCTATTCGCTTTCAAGGTCACCCAAAGCTTGGTGAATCCAGTGGAAAAAAAGAAAGGTTCAACAAAATAGGTTTTTAGCTCTCATCAAGACTGAAGTTTTTTTTACTTTTTTTATTATAACTTTTTGCTCTCATCACGACTGAAGTTTTTAGCTCTCATCACGACTGGACGCTCTTTGTTGCCTGGAAAAGGGCCATCAAGACAGCCCTCACCCCCCCCGCAGTCCAAACTGGCTGGTCACTGCGACGCCTGGTGCAGAAAAGCCTGGGACGCGAAACAAGTGTCTCCTCTTGCTAGGCAGCTATCCTTCCTCTCTCACGTCACATGAAAACTTCCCCTTCCATAGGCACAGTGATGTTTGGACAAACACTGATGTCGCCCTGCAGGTAGATAATCATGCAACACGGCGATGGCCACAAGCAGCGAGGTGGAAGGAGAGGAGATAGCCACTGCTCAGCGAGGCACAAACCACCGGGGACTGATTACCATCATCCCAGTGGCGATGACAGCCCAATTACAACTCCTGCTCCAGTCATCTAGCACCCAGGGTGAGTTCTTGTGGGTTAAGCAGTCCATTCGGATTCAAAACATCTTTCACTGTTTTCTTTGGAGAGAGAGACAGAGAGAGAGAGAGAGAGAAGGGGAGAGAAGGGAAAAGAGAGAAGAGGGGAGAGAGACAGAGAGAAGGGGAGAGAGAGAGAGAAGGGGAGAGAGAGAGAGAAGGGGAGCGAGAGAGAGAAGGGAAGAGAGAAAAATAGAGGGAGGGAGAGAGAGAGAGAGAAGGGAAGAGAGAGAGGGAGAGAGAGAGAGAGAGAAACAACACTCCTTCCATTCTGGGGAGTGGAAATCCAGTTCACCACAACCGGAAGGAAAAGTAAAACGAAGTAACCCACAAACGCTTCTCCCAATCGAGGTAAGAGAACCAGAGCCACTGCTTCCAAGGGACACTTCCTGAGTGCTAACTATAGGGCCAGCAGCGTTGATTGCCTTCCCAAGGAAAGACCGACTCCCAGTCCTCTCTGACCGGTAATCCCATTTGCACATCCACGTCTCGAGACCACTACTCCCCACATTAGCGTCTGGCGACCACCCAGACCTCCTCCGGCGTTCATGAAACGTCTAATGACAGCACCAGTACCACCAACTTCATCTGCACTGCCTGCAACCCAAGTCACCTCTCCCCATTCACATGCATAGTCACCTCTCCCCATTCACATGCATACTAAAGGGAGGTCCAATCTCTGATCTTGTAACAGGGCGTAAGGAACACCCAAAAACGCTCAATGTGATAGCAGGGCGTAAGGAACATCAGGCCTCAGAGCAGGTAGATTAGAACCGCCACGCATCAAAAGACATCCCAGATCAGCCTGACCACCCTCCTCTCCCACGCTCCCTCCCCAGAAACCCAAGGAATTTCCCACAAATTCCTCCTGACCTTCCCCCCAACCCGGTTCTTCCTCACCCTCCACTACCACTTTTGTATCCAAAAAATCACCCATCAAACCCTTTCTTCCATTCCCCTCTGCAATCCCCTTCCCTTTCCACTCATGTTTCAATCTGACCGTCAACCCCTTTCGCCCCCTCCCCCCTCCCAACCCTCCCCAAGCCAGAGTTATCGGACGTATCATTAAAAGGATGAGATGATGAGCCCTTCCCCTTTGACGCATCCCCTCCCCCAGTACCCATATCCAGACCACCAACCGAGCGGGAGAAAGGCACCCTCCCATCCGCAGCAACTCTCCTTCCCCTCGATCACCACCCAAAGACTAAAAACCCTACCTTGCGATCTTAATCAAAGTTCTATCATACAGTACAGTCGTCATCTTCCTCATGAACATTCCCGCTCATCATCTACTGACAGGGCTGACGAGCTCCTCTCAAGGAGCCTTCAGATCCAAGATATCATTCAACCAACACCACGAGTATCTACTAACATCTACTATTACAGGGATTGAGCAGTTCCTAGTGTTGCCAGATGACCAGCATCGCCATGAAATTCTCAGACCGGACGGCGGGGTGCCATCCGTGCTTCTCTGGGATGAGTTCTTCTCTTTCTCTTTCCCTCTCTTCTCTGCTCTTTCTGTTCCGTGACATCATTTGACCTTTGTGATTGCTTGAAAGGCTATGTGTCTTATCCTCGGCATGCTGGTGGTCTAAGGTGTCAAGCAAAAGGTTCGGCAACACTAGATAGCTTTCCAGACCACTAGAAAGGTTTGATCCATCACTACAATGCCGGTGGTGTGAAGTCAAGCGAGGGGTTCTGCAACATAGCTTCAAGAAGACTGATGAATCACCACTGCCACCTCTTTTGTCCATTCACGGCCCTGAATTTGCCGAATATTTGGCCTCAACAACCCTCCAAATATCTCCGCCGGCTTCCCATTATACTACTACTATCCCCGTTCACCCTCCCGTCACCATCGCTTGAGTTGCATCAGACTTGAGCCCACTCTCCTCGTCCTCCCACCCCTCCCTCTCACTCCCTCCTTCCTCTCCCCCCTCCCCCCCCTCATTCTCCCTTTCCTCCTTCCTCCCCCTCCGGTCTCCCTTCCCGGCTTCCTCCCCCTTCCCTCTTTCCAACCCAATTCCAACTTCTCTAAGCAACAAAACCGACCGCGCATTTCTATCTGTCGCCATCCCATAAGGCCATGCCAGCGGGTATCCCACCCTCTTCCACCTCCTCTCCCTCCTCTTCCCTCCTTCCTATCCTCATCCTCCAGGTCCTCGTTCATCTCCCTGCCCTCGATAGTAATATGCTCTAATATAGCACGTCAGTTTAGTATCATCGCCATCAAACACTATCGCACAGTTGGCAAGTCGGCATCCCAATCGTCGCTCCTATGACATAGCAGTACTTCCGACTGTGGTCTTCTTCATTAATACAAGTACTGGAAGCAATAAAACGGCGCATTCTATCTGTCGCCATCCCATAAAGCCATACCAGCGGGCATCTACACCCCTCGGAGTATCATCATGATCCGCAGGATCAGCAACACAACCATAGCAGTAACGAAGAGCATCAAACTCTCCGTCGGTCGTCAACTACTCGTCCCCCATCCTTCCTTATTAGAATCTCAAAAGAATCTAGTCTTATCCGCGCCCCAGGCCGATGACCACAGCATCGTCATCGCCCCCCGCCCCCCACCCCACCAATCCTTCCTTATCCGGAACCCAAAAACAGATCCGAGACCAAATTCATACCTTTCTTCAGTCGCCACCCACCCAACCCAAGCCCAGAACCTAAAACACCAGGAGCGCACCCTTTTCCCTCTTCATTCTGCACAAGACTACCATCCTGCCCTAAACCCAGAACCCTAAACCCCTCCAAAAAACAAAACCCTTCACCAAAGCCCCAAAATCTTGAAGTCAGGCCATGCACCACCAAAAACACACACCTTAAACCCTGAACCACATATTCACCCGCAATACAAACCGAAAGCTCTGCAGGTTATGAGAACATACAGTATTTAAAAACGACAACGACTCAACAACATAAAATAATAATAATAATAATAATAATAATAATAATAATAATCAAATTACAGAAGACGAGAATAATCGCGATCACATACCAGGTCCAAATCTTGCGATGCATTCAACCCTCTCGTCCGCAGGAACGACGTCACCGTCCAGCACCTCCAACGTCCGCAAAGAATAGACCAAAAACCCTCTACAATGAGGCAGAGAAGAAATAGGATTGCCTTGAACGGTTAGGCTAGCCAAGTTCTTCATTCCAGCAAGCTTCTCGAATTCCGCGAGCTGCATGACAAATGCACCCAATACCACATCCATTCATGCAACGCTGTTATGAAACAGTTACGCAGGCAACGACCACCCCCCCCCCCCCCCCCCTCCCACATATAAAACACGAACGCGCGCGCGCACACACACACGTGCGCACTTGCACAGAAAAACGCGTGGAAATTCTGGACTCAGACTCTACGGGCATTTCGGTCTCCATATGAGATGAAAAAACCTTTCGCACTCGGGCTGACGCTCAAACATGGACAGGATAGGAACGGAATCTTTCTTCCCTAGCAACGCTCCAGGTTGCTCAGCCGTGAAGGGGAGCAATGCCATGGTCATGGTTGGGTTGCCTGCATCTAGCGATGCAGACTGGTTTGGTTGGGGGACAAGCCAACGTTCGAAATCACACGGCGTATTATGGCATCCGAAGAACACCCCGCCTTTGGATACACAACTCCCATAAACCCGGGAGCAAAAATGTCACTCTCAATACATGCAGGCAGCAAATCTTTTTTTTTTTTTTTTGAGGAAAACGTCCCCGCCAGTGTTAGTGGTCCTGATAAGAGTAGACACCACTAGCACCTGGGGAGAGGCTCCAGGCAGCAAATCACCAAAAAAAGACAAAACTTTTTCACAAAGTAGGAAAAGGAAGCAGGACCGCACACGTTCTTCCCTATCCACTTGAACGATGCGGACAGATTTTTCTTAATCCCCTCTTTAAGCTACATTCTTCTCTCAATTTCACCGGACAGATTTTTTTTGTTTTCACCTTCTAGGAGGTCTCTTTCTGAAAAAAAATATTGAACTGACCAGAACAAATTCAACAGACACTGCATTTGATCTTATTATGCCAAAAGGCCAAGAAAGGTATGATTCTGGGAGGTCTCCGTCAATAGTGGATGGGTAAAACTCCAAACATATATATGAATGCTGTACTGTCACCCCAGAGTTAGCAGTGGCCGCTGGTTTAAAAAAAAAAAACACAAAAAAAAAACAGTTATCTAGGCTACCAGAGTGGCCCAGGATCACTTGCCCGGTCCGGCCAAAAAAAAAAAAAAAAAAAAAAAAAAGAAGTTTAACTTTATTTTTTAATTATTTTTTGGGTAACGAATTCCTATGTGACCCTGAGGCAAACGTTGTTCAGTTTATTTTCTGCATAACATAGATTTTTTTCAGATTTTTCCGAATTTTTTTTTTTTTTTTTGGATGGGACCTACTTTGGCCCTCGCACGGCCGGGCCGCCCGGGCAAACAAGGTCACCCGGGCGGCCCGGCTGATAGCCTAGAGTATTATCCATTCTTTCTGCTTGTGTGGCACCGTCTCTTCAGCTCTTCCTTATTCATTCTTCAGTTTCATTTATTATTATTTCTTTCCAGTTTACAAGTGTCAGCTCTTCCATCTCTTTCCTTTCACTTTTCAGTGAAATCTTTCATTTCTCCCCAAGTACACAGGCAATCAGCCATGAGAAGAACAAGACCAAGAGAGCGCTTCAAGAAGAAAGAGCGGCAAGTTCGTTGCCTTGGGGTCCTACCTCTGCAATCTTGTTCCGTCCCAATCGTAGGAGCCTCAACCTTCTTAAATACAACAAAGACCTCGGAACTTGTTGCAGCCGGTTCCCTGTCAGATTCAGCTCCTCTAGTCTCTCAAGACCCTCTATACCATCGAGTCGGCTGATATGATTGTCTGCCAGAGAGAGAACCGTCAGCCTCTTGAGGCAGCCCACGTTGTCCAGTCTAGTCAACAAGTTGCACGAAAGGTCCAGCCGATGCAGGTTGACAAACGCGTCCAGGTTCTCGATGCGCTGCATATACGCAACAAAAAAGAAAGACAAACACGAAGGACAAGAAACGGGGACGATATTAAGCACGCCGCTTCCTGTCGACTTCCTTCCAAAAAAAAAAAAAGAAATGGGGACGAGAGAGATATGCGGGGCAAACGGGAGAGAAGGAGAATGGTCAGTGATCCTATTCATAGTAATTCGAAGAAGAGGCAAGAGCACAAGATAGACAGAAAACAAGCAGGAAGCTGCCACGGCAACATCGATCCATTATCCACGATCAACACATCTAATACACTGTCAGTATATGCCACACCCCAATCCAATCCCCCCTCAATTACTGGTGTGAAAGACCAAGGTCCTTCGCTCAACTTCTTTTTTTTTTTTCCGGAAACACCCCCCTCGGGGCGAGATGCCACTGGCAAAGAGGGATTTGATCAAGTACCTGAATCTGGATGTTTATGCGCAGATGCAGAAAAACGGATCACTCGCGGATTTCCGCACAAACACGTCCAGTTTCAGGCTTTCAATCCAATCCCGGTTCCTGGTGGGATCTCGCCGTCGGACTTCCTTTCATCGCAGAAAACCAATTACCAAACATGGAAGATCTGCAAAGAAATCATCTGCAAAGAAAACAATGAACCCCAGGAAAAGAAGCTCTCTCTCTCTCTCTCTCTCTCTCTCTCTCTCTCTCTCTCTCTCTCTCTCTCTCTCTCTCTCTCTCTCTCTCTCACACACACACACACACANCACACACACACACACACACACACACACACACACACACACACACACACACACACACACACACACACACACACGAACGAAGCAATCGAACAAACATCCAAACAACCAGTTGAATAGGATAAGGCATAATCCAATGAAGATCGCCCAATTGAAACGGAGTACCCTCTCTCCACTTACTTCCTCATCGAGAAAACGGACTTCCTTCATCACAGAACACCAATTACGAAACATGAAAATCTACAGAGAAACAATGAACCCCAGGAAAAAGGAAAAACAACAAACAAACGAACCAACCGAACAACCAGTAGATCCAAACAACCAGTAGGATAAGGCATAATAATCCAATGAAGATCTCGACCAACGGAAACGGAGTACCCTCTCTCCACTTATTTCCTCGTCGAAAAAAAGCAAGAACTCGAAATTTGTCACCATCCTCAGGTAAGAGGCCTGGCAAAACAGACAAAAGTTTCCTCAACAAAAAAAAAAAACGAGTGAAGCGATCAACAATGTGGTGACGTGTCAATCAGTTACGTGAACGCATGTAGAATGACAAATAAATAAGCAATCGGGAATCGCGAAGAGGGAAAAGATTCCTTATGAAAAAAAAAACGAGGTCGTCAAGCAGATCAGTCGGACATCTCGCAAACAAAAAATATGACGGTGAGTAGTGGAGCGAGGCCCAATGTCTAGCGGAAGATCCATTCTCCTTTGTTTTTTTTTGTTTTTTTTTTTTTATCCATTCTCACTTTGCTCTTTCGGTGAGCTGTGAGCGAGGCCCAATGTCTGACCCGCTAATGTCTGAGATATCCCGCCAGCCTGCATTTGGTCGTTCGCACGAAGAGATGCAGATTAAGCACCTGCCCGTCTTCACCGTCAAGATGCACACGGCGTTGCCTATCCAAGACATACCACCGATCCGCCAGCAAAGTGAGATCCATTCACTTTACTTTGATGAGCTGCGGGGCGAGGCCCAATGTCTGATCCGCTAATGCCTGAAATATCCCGCCAATCTGCATTTAGTCGTTCGCACGAACGTACAGATTATTCACCTGACTGTCTTCACCGTCAAGATGCACACGGCGTGGCCTATCCAAGGCATACCACCGATCCGCCAGCAAAGTGAGATCCATTCTCAATTTACTTTGATGAGCTGTGGGGCGAGGCCCAATGTCTGATCCGCTAATGCCTGAAATATCCCGCCAGTCTGCATTTAGTCGTTCGCACGAACGGATAGCCTATCCTAGACATACCACCGATCCACCAGTCAAGTAACAAACCCGGGATCTATCAAAATATAATTCAAAGGCAGAACTTCGCGACATTGGTAAAATTACCAATCACATTTTCGATAGGGCGTCTCGCTGCCATGCCATTGATGCAGAATCATGCTTACAGGCATTTAGTAGTAAATAGAAGTAGTTCCAATCCCGTGGAACTACCTAAGAAATCGAGGATTAGCCTCCTTCCTGAAGAAAGCAGGGAAAAAAGGCCTGCCTGCCTCTACATATTCACAAAGGAGTCTAACTATTTTCATAATCAAGAAAAAAGCTCAAACACATATACATTGAAGTTAATCACAGGTCCCTCAGACTGATGGTGACGTAGATGATTAGAGCGGTAGCGACTATCGGTCTGCCTTGCCGCCTATTGTCGATGTGGAATCGTGGCCGCACCGGATCGCGCTGTCACCAGTCGATGGCTCTCTCTCTCGCTCTCTCTCTCTCTCTCTCTCTCTCTCTCTCTCTCTCTCTCTCTCTCTCTCTCTCTCTGTGTGTGTGTGTGTGTGTGTGTGTCTCTGTCTGTGTGTGTGTGTGTGTGTCTCTGTCTGTGTGTGTGTGTGTACACGTAAACTTGCATGTACATATATAGATCTATATGTATACATATATGGACACATGTACATACATCAATATAAATTTATGTATGTCCCTCTGTCAGCCGATTTATAATCCCCGAACGTTCAACTAGCCGGGAAAGTGATAGAGCCACGTCGCCAACCTCAACTCTCGATTGTAACAGCAAGAAATTTACACCAATGGGGCCGATAAAATGAAAAACCGCCTCGATCGACGTGAAAGCGATCTAGAGAAGGCACCGTCACCGACAAGGGCCAGCAAAGAAAATATCATCACGGGGCATCCGGCATCACTCTAATATCTTGCAGATTAAACCCGACAAAAACAGTTGCTCACCCTTCTTGACCTTAGCCAAAGCGTGGAACATGTTGGCCACCCCACGTAGACCAAGCGGTCCACGTAGGATCACGGCCCATGGAACTAAGCAAGCAATTCAGCTCATGAATGCAACGACCACCTTGGACCACAATTACAGCACAAATTCACAACCAATCCCCATTTACCTACCAAGTGGGACCAGGGCTGCGGTAATGGAACGCGCTGCACACCCCACGCGGGTCAGGATAGGTTCGCCTGCTCCACGCAGGCAACCACGGAATACTCACCATGACCGGGCGCCGTTCAAGCAAGCAGTCGGTCATCGAACTACCACAAGCGAACCACCCTCGCGGACTACTGTCTTCACCCGACTACAACGTACGATCATTATTGCTGTAACTAGACTGAAAGTTGCCCCAAATACAGCCATAATGACCGTCCGTCGTATAGGGGTGAAGACGGTAGAAGACGCCGATGGGATGCGTCCGGCTTAGGGGATGCATGACTTCATGACGCTGCTGCTATGGCTGCTGTAAGAGGACGTTCGCCGCCTCCTGTCTTGTCGAGACATGGCTCGGGCCGGCTGCAATCTGATTCGAGATTCTGCAAGCATAAACAAAACGAGGCACGCTTCGAACACATAGAAAGCCGCTTTTCTATTTTCTCGACACGTGGGGGATCTGCGGGCGAACAGCCGCCTCCTATTTTCTCGACACGTGAGACTCGGGCAGGCTGCGATCCATCCGCTTTGAGATTCTGCAAGCAACGCTTCGACCACATACAAAAGACGAGCAGCATGGCTGCTTGAAAGCATCTCCACACGCGAGTTCGAGCACTCCCTCAGCTATTTTTTCTAGGCAACTCCACCCATTCGTCTTACGCGTGTAAATACGGCGTTAGAGAGCAGGATTTCCTACGATCACGTTAACGTGATGACCGCGATATCTTTTTGCTTCTGCTTTCAGGAAGCAACGAACAGTAACAAGTCTCCTTTGGTCTCCATCTGTGGCCTGAAGCTCGGGAAAGGGATTGTAATACGTATGTGCGTAGACAAAATGCCTTTCCAGGCAAGCAAAGGTGGAAAGGACCGTACTCTCTCTCTCTCTCTCTCTCTCTCTCTCTCTCTCTCTCTCTCTCTCTCTCTCTCTCTCTCTCTCTCTCTC